GGCCAGTGATAAATAATTACAAAACATAATAGAAATAATAGCAAATAATAGTTAATTCATGGCTAGCCCTGTAATAATGTCATTTTGCTCACATTTCCTAGGTGGGAATCAAAAGGTGGCATTGTGGGAGTCATTCATAAACAACAGACTGTCTTTTCCATGACATGACCCAAATCTTTCGTATACTCCTAGAAATATGTCACGTATATGAATTTCTCCGGTCAAATATCAGAGCAGAAGAAAATGTTGAAAACAGCTACGTTATTAGGCCAAGCTATTTCCTTCAAACACATCACAGGTCATCCATTCATTTACTCAGTAGAAATTTACTGAGCACCTATCATAGGCTAAGCATATTCTAGGCACTACAGGTATAGCAGCTGACAAGACATATGCAGCCCTTGCCCCTATGGGACGTACATTCTAAGGGAGAAGACAGAAAACAAAATTTTTAAAAATTCTTACATTGGTAAATGCTGTGAAGTAAATAGGGTACAAGTATGGAGAGTGACAGTGGGGTGGGCTCCTTGCTGAGGAGCTGCATTTGAGTTGAGACCCAAAGTATAGAGAGCACGGTGGACTTGTGTAGATCTACAGGACTTTAGCCTTTTGAAGGAACAGGGAGGGTAAAGGTTGGGAGGTCAGGAGAAACAAAAGGTCTAGAGGCTAAAAGGAAGGGAGAGAGGACAAAGCACTAGGAAATGAAGCCGGAGAAGTAGGAAGCTTCAAGCTAAACCACTCTGGACCATTCGAGGCCTTAATCGACAATGGGAAGAAGTTTGAATTTTGTTGTAAAAATAAATGGAAGTCACCGGAGTATTTTAAGTAGGGAAATGGACTCTGACCCATATTTATAAGTGGAAGCAGAGGGAGTGATTTTAGGCCCTTGAAGTGGTTCAGGTGATAAATGATGGTGGTCAGGGCTAGGGTCCTACGATGGAGGTGTTGTGAAGTTGTCAGGTTTTAAATATAAATTTCAGAGCCAACTGCACTTGTTCATAGATTTGATGTGGCATATTAGGGAAAGAGAAGAATGGAAGATGACCCTAGACTTGAGTTCCGAGCACCCAGAATAATGGTGGCTGAGATGTCTGGAAGCCAGGACCCAGGAAGAGGTGCTGAGGAAACTGCTTTATTCTGTCTGCTGAAAAGGAGCCTCAGAGACTACCATGTGAAAGGCAGGAGAGGCCAGGCCAGCTGGCTCTGGAGAAAAGCGAGATCACAGGATGAAAATTACACAGGGAGTAGCTCTGGGCTCATTATGAAAAAGGACTTTAGGAATATTAAGAACCTGCTGGGTTCGGAGAGGCTAGGCCAGCTGGCTCTGGAGAAAAGCGAGATCACAGGATGAAAATTACATAGGGAGTAGCTCTGGGCTCATTATGAAAAAGGACTTTAGGAATATTAAGAACCTGCTGGGTTCTACTGCTAAGGGGTACCTTAGGTAGTGAAGCCCCTGAGGCTGGGAGGCCATCATTCCACAGTGAAGGAGAGGCGATTTTCTTAGCTGAATGGACATCTGGCTGCATGGCCACTGATGTTTCTCCCAGCCCTAAAATTCCTAGCCTATTTTGATAAGCGAAGATAGAGCTCCCAATTAGGTTCCCACGTGTTCTTGAACTCTGCACCCAGTACCATTAGCCACATTTGGCTGTGGGCAGTTGGAGTTTCAGTTAAATGAAGTGACTTGCTCACCGTACACCACTGAAGAGTTAATGTTGGCAGTATGTTGATTCCATGTCCATATATATAAGACCACACAGAAGCAAGGCTAGTAAACTTTAACTTTCATGAATGTGTGCCAAGACCTGCTAAATGACATTTTTTTCTTTATTTTTAAGTGGGTTTGTGGCGGGGTTTTCAGTTTAAATTTCATGGAGCTACTTTTACTTGTTTTTCTTTATTTTTCATGGAGCTGCTTTTAGTTCGGTTTACTATTGGTACCTCTTTCCACTGGCGAGGACTGGCATTACTCTAAACATCTGTCCCATGGTCATATTTTATTGCGTGTTTGAAGATTATGCATTGGTGTGACACTGGCATTTGAAGATGTGGCTATCTTCAATGCCAAATGGACTTAGGTAGGAATCATTTTTCCTGTGTGTGTCACAGTGGGAACGTGGAGGTGTGAGGTGCTCTCTGTGCATGGCTCTTGGGCTGTTGGCCAACACTCCGTGGTCAAGTGCTCTTTCATCCTAATCCCCAATGTGCTTAATTCATGCTTGGTCACAACACCATGTGCACCTCAGTACCATTTCTCAGAAGTCCACAGGTAATTCCCCAAGCAGTCAGTCAGAGAGCTGCAGACTTTGTGCTGAGGTTACATTTAGACTTCTGTCTTACCTAAATTTAAAATTGTTAATTCTCCAGTCAGCCTTTTTCCCCACCACAGTAAATGGACAGATGATGGATGGATGGATGGATGGATGGATGGATGGATGGATGGATGGATGGATGGATGGATGGATGGATGGATGGATGGAGTGATTCTTGATTTCATGGCCAAAGAATTGAAACAATAGAGAAGCACATAGGGTACCCCAATCTTTCTACCCTTCCTTAAAGTAACTACAATAAAAATGGAAGTGTATCTTCCAGATTTAAAAAAAAAAAACATATTTACATAGAAATAAATGTATACAAGCAATAGATATTGTTGGGGGATTTGTTTTTGTACAGGTAGATCACACATTTTTCCGTGAGTTTTAATTTAACCCTGTCTAGAAGATCCTTCCAATTTAACACATAAACAGCTACTTCAGTCTTTGGAGGTATTGTAATTAATTTATGCACCCCCAATTATTAGACATTTTGTGTCATTTACACTGTTTATTTTAAACTCTGTGTGTGTGTTTTAATTGGAACAATTTAAATTCAATTTTAAGAGATTGTCTTGAGCTATAATTATTTTACCCCAATCCCAGGCATGAGTGTCTTTAGAAAATAGATACATAGTAATCAAATTACTGTGCCGTAGGGTATGTGTACTTTAAATATTGATATATAACTGACAGTATATGAATTCCTATTTCCCCACATCCTTACTAATACTGGACATTACCCATATTTTCAGTGTTTGGTGATCTGATGAATTAATACAAATAGATGTCACTATTTAATTTGTAGTTCCATGATTACTGAATTACTCGTGAGTGTGACTATCTTAGAGAGGGGATTTGTATTTCATGAATTGCCTGTCCTTACTCCCTACCTACTTTTAAATTGGGTTGTTTCTTTTTTTCACACTGTTTTGCAATATTTATATAATAAGGCCACTAATCTTTGGTTATAAATGTTATAAATTTTTCTCTGTCTCTGGTGTTTAACTTTATTTATGGTGTCTTCAGTATTACAGAGGTTTTAATTTTTAATTTTTTTTTATAAGATCAAATACCTCTTTTTCTCTATCACATCTAAATTTAGTGGTTTTGTTTAGGAGGAGCTTTCCCACCCCCTGAGCTTTAAAAGTAGTCTTCTGTATCTCCTATTTATAGTTTTTGTTTTAATGTTTAGATCTTTAATCCATCTGCAGTTTATTGATTTTATGATGTGAGGAGACCATGTCATTTTTTTAATAACTTGTCTATTTTCCACTGATTTATAATGCGTTCTTTGAATCATCTCTTATATTGCTGTATAGGTATGGGTTTGTTTCTAGTTATTCCCTTCTGTTGTTCTGTTCGTCTGTTCTGTGCTAGTAACATACTGTTTTACTACTGTAATTGTATACTGTATAGGTATGGGTTTGTTTCTAGCTATTCTCTCTGTTGTTCTGTTCGTCTGTTCTGTGCTAGTAACATACTGTTTTACTACTGTAATTGTATAGACTGTATTGGTATCTGTGAATGTCAGATTCTCTGTCATTATTCCACTTTTTCAAAATTGTCTTCCTGTGCATTCTCTTTCATATAAACTTTAAAATAAACACGTGAGTTTTCTTTTTAAAAAGTTTGAAATTTGGGGCATATGTTGAATTTCTAGACTAATTAGGAAAAAGCATCCTTTCTGTAGTTTTTCTGACTTTCAAAAATGATATTCAGGCAGAAATCTAAGTGTAAAATTTGAATTTATAGAGTTTTTACAACCTGGAAGAAAATATAGCTGAATTACTTTATAACCTGGGTATAAGGAAAGGCTCGCTTACCTATGACGCAAAGTCTAGATGCAATAAAACAAAATATTGATATAATTATAAGACATAAAAAAAATAAAATGTTTGCGTGGCAAAAGTTTGTGTAAGAAGAGTCAAAAGGCAAATAAATGACAAACTAAGAGAAGATATATTCAACATATATCACAAATTAAGGACCAATATTAAAATGTAAGTCGTATCAATACCTACTTCACTGTTGTGAAGAAAATTAAGTGGTATGCCTCATGCTAATTGTTATAATTACATATATTATTATTTATAATACAATTATATAAATATATATGTAAAGCAAAAGTTAGTATTCTTTCCTTCTGAAAGCCATCTGAGAGTCCTTCACCAGGTCAGACTAGTTTTTCTTTCATTTTTTCTATATACATAGAATATATCCATTTTTTCTTCTTTATACCATACAGCCGTCATGGCTTTTCATCTTTCACCACTCATCAGTGTGACTTCTTAAGGTCCTTCAAATATAAATTTATAATTATATAATTGTAATTATAACTGTATAATTGAACAGTAATTGTAATCATTAATTTAATTCACCTTGTAACCCATTCAGTGCTGACAATCGATTGTGTTTCGCTTTCATTCTAACAGCAAGAATAGAACTGAGAGCAGTGAACTTTCAAGAATTAAGGAAATAGTAAGGGAGTGTTTCCAGCCAGCCAGTGGGCACACCTGTAACATATACATGTACATATACATATACATATACATATACATATACGTATATGAGATCATATTTTAAAAATCTTAAATGGTCAAGAGCTGCATTGTCCTTATGACTACCTGTCCATATAGCATATATGACTTATAAATGCAAACTGCTTTTCTCTCTACCTAGATTCGATCACTCAGCACAAGGTCTGTGCCTCTGAAGACTACCTATTGCTGCCATGATGGAGACACCATCCCACGTGGCACTGCAGACAGCTCGCAAAGCTTTGGATATTCAAGTGAGAAACAGCTGCGAAGAGAAGGAACTGACATTTAAGGCTGACTTTTTATATCATCATGTTTGCCTGTGTATGTTGTGGTTTTTATTTTAAGACTCCTTTGTGTGATTTCCCAATGACTGAATTTGTTTCAGAAAGGGGTTGGCCAGTCCTATCTGGGCCTTTTCTACATAATGTCCCTCTTTGTATCTTAGTAATAATCGTAATTAAAAGGTTACAGAACCTTTGTCATTAAAGCAGTGTAGTGCCAAATAAAAAGTGGAAATTTAAATCATTTTATTGCTGAGAACAATCAAAGAATGCTCTAAGTCTCTTGACTTGGACTCCAAGGTCTTTATTAATATACTAGATATGAAGGACATTCATCAGTTATCACGGTTACTTTTATGTATCTGAAATTCTTCTGAAAGTGATTAGGGAAGGCAGGGTGGGGAGTACTGTACAGTGATAATCGGTGTCCTCCGAGTGGCCCTGCTTCTCCAGGCTTAGTTCGTGGTGAGCAGAGGACTACTACCCAGAGGTCACAGCCTGCACTGCTGCTTTGGTGCTTGCTGTCCACCAGATGAAACTGGCTGGTGGGGCCAAAATGTAGACACACTCACTGGTCAGTCACCTTCTAACCAAGAGAAATGACAAATTTCAGTGGGGTTGAAGTTGCCACTGAGACCTCATCATGATTCTATTTCCTCTCTGTGTTATTTATCTATTGCTATCTCAGCTGTTGTTTCCACCTCAAATACATTTCAAGTCCCTCAGCAAGTATAATGGATCAATTTTTAGACTAAACCTTTGAGAAAGCAGTTAGCAATGCAACTGGAAATAATGAAGGGTTTTCACTTGGTTTTAAAATAATATATACACCCAAATAATCCCCTCGTGACACTCAGCCTCCAGCAACAGTTGAACTTCAACACAATTCAGTGGTCCTAAATCTGTTCTCTTCATGTTGTAAACCCTGCTTCTCTATACCCACAAGCATCCTGGGCTTGGCTGCGTCTCCGTTCAGGTACTTTGGCAGAGCTCCCATAGCACCACAGCATCCTAAGGAGGGTGATGAAAACTGTGCTGACTCACACTGGGAACAAGCCACAAGATCTCCCATCTGCCCACCTCCACAGCCACATGGTACCACCCTTGCCTTCTGTCCAGCGATCTGCATCCTCAGTGCTAAGTCTGATGCCTGATGCTAACCAGCTAGTGGTCGGTCAGGAGTCTCTAAAAGCTAAGATTTTATGAGGATTGACTTGTGGTAGGCATCACACCATGTATTTTATGTGTGGTAGCTCATTTTATCCTCACAACAACCCTATGAGTTAGTTACAACAGCTCTGCAATCCCTTACCCAAAACACAGGGCTAAAAGTTCTCAGAATTCTGAATTTTTTAAAAATTTTGAAAGGTGTATGGCTCTCACCACTTTTATTCAACATTTTATAGAGATTCTACCCAGAAAAGAAGGCAAGAAAAAGAAATTAAAAGCATACAGATTGGAAGTGAAGAAGTGAAATCTTTATTCTCAGATTACATTATAGTATATATAGAAATTATAAGGAATCCCCCCCAAAAAACTAGAATTTATAGAAAGTTTAGCAAGATTATGGGATACAAAATCAATATTCAAAACTAACTGAATTGTATTGTGTTTTTATATTATCAATAAGCAATTCAAAATGAAATTAAGGGGCTGAGCCTGTAGCGCACGTGGGTTCGGATCCTATACAGGGATGACAGGCGCGCTCACAGCACTCACTGGCTGAGCGCAGTGCGGCCAGTCTCAAAAAGGACAAAAAAAAAAAAAAATGAAATTAATAATGGAATTTCATTTACAATAGCACCTAAAAATAAACAGAACAGGAATAAATTTGACAAAAGAAGTGTACACCTGTACACTGAAACCTACAAAACATTGCTGAGAGAAATTAAAGGTCTAAATAAATGGAGAAACATATGAAGTTCATGGATTAGAAGGCATAATACAGTTAAGGTGGCATTTCTTTTCAAATTGATCTATAGAGTCATTGCAATCACCATCAAAACCCCAGGTGGCTTTTTTGTGGAATTTGAAAAGCTGGTGCTAGAATTAATAAGAAAATGCAAAGAACCTCTAGCAGACAAACCAATTAAAAAAAAGAAAAGAATAAAGTGGAGGGATGTATAGTACCTGGTTTCAAAACTGACTGGAGAAATACAGCAATCGCACAGCGAAATGTTGGCATAAAAGTAGATATGTGGACCAAGGGAGCCAAAGACGTGTGAAGGCCCATATTGATGGTCCTTTGATTTTCAAAAAATGTGCCAAGTCAATTCAATTTAGTGAGATATTCTTTTCAACAAATGCTGGAAAAAGAAAAAAGGAAAAAAAAAAAAAGCACTTAAATTCTTATCTCACACGATACACAAAAAATAACTCAAAATGAACCAAAAACATAAGACAGGGATTCTCAGCCTAAGCACTATTGACCTTTTAGACCAGAGAATTCTTTGCCATGGGGGCTGTCCTGTGCATTGTAAGATGTTTAGCAGCATCTCCGGCCTCTACCTATTAGATGCCAGTAACTCACCCCTCCCAGTTGTGACAATCCAAAATGTCTCTAGATAATCCCAAATGTCTTCTGGAGAGCAAAATTGTTCCCAGTTGAGAACCAGTGTCCTAATGTGAGAACTAAAATTTTAAAATGTCTAGAAGAAATCATAGCAGGACATCTTTCTGACTTTAGGTTATGCAAAGATTTTTTAGAGACGACGCTAAATGCACAATTCATTAAAAAGTAAGTTGGACTTCATCAAAATTTAAAAATTTTTGCTCTTAGAAGGAACCATTTAAAAAAATGAAAAGAGGCTAGATAGAGCTCAGGGGAAGAGGAGAGACCCATGGAGTTCACAAAGGCAGGAAAAGCCACAATGAGAGAAAGAAAGTACCAGTCCCAACATTTCGAGCCCTGGCTGCTTCCAAGCTGGCCCTGGTGAGCACAAGGAGCAAGAGCTGGCAAAAGCCTCAGCTGTGCCCTTTGTATGAAGTTGGAGGCAGCAGGGAAAAGAGGGCCTTGGTGGCCCCCAGGCCAGCAAGACCACTAACGGGGTTCCTGTGGACCCACATAGGAGCAAGAGGCCACAGACAACTGAAAAAAGGAGCTACTCAGAGGCCAGTGAGTTATCACAAGGAACCAATGCATGGCCCGTCCCAGGGTGGAGGGAAAGTGAAGATAAATAATCAGGGTCCCTCGAGGGTACAGAGTCTTGCCAAGCATTTGATGTAAATGTGCACATGCGCCCAGGTGTTCCTTGGTTATTGTCTAATGTAATTGCGTATGTGCTCGCAAGTGTCCTGGGTTATCAGACTTGAGTATAAAGGATGAGTGGCTCTGATCTATGGGCCCCTCCACCCAGCCCCCGGGGGGGCCAAGGGGAGGCCTGTACTGCCACTGGAGGCGGTGGCTGCTGCTGCATCTGCTGGGGGCTGCTGTAAGCTGCTTCCATTGCTGATAAAGCTGAAGACTGAGCTCGTGTAATCTGCCATTCGTTCCAGGGATCTTTCCCAATTACCTAGCATGGATTGCATGTGAAGGGTCTGGTGACCAAGCCAGGCATGTGAGGGGTCTGTGACCCAGTCTGTACAACAGGTTTGAAGGATCTGTGGGCCCAAACCCCTAATCCTGACAATACAAATGGAAAACTTAGTGTAACTAAGTAATGAAACATTTTGGTTTTAGTTGTGAATTGCCTAGAGATACAATTGGCCTAGTCACTTAGCAATACACATGGGAAGTGTTTGGAGTGTGGGAGGTTGGGGAGAAGGGACGACCGAGGAACACTGGAGCACACCATGGACAGCTGATCTGCCCCCCAGTCAGCACAGGCCACTCAGTGTAGACTAGTGTTGGGCTAGGTCACAGGCGCTTCAAACCTGTTGTCAGGATAGGTCACAGATCCTTCAAACCCATTCTGTGCAGTCTGGGTCACAAACCCCTCTTATGCAGGGTGAGTCACAGACCCCTCATGTGAAGGTCATGAGCTAGGTAAAAGATCCTAGGAGCCACTGGCAAAGTTGACATGCTTTATTTGAACGTGAGCTCAGCCCCTAGCCTCCTCAGCAGCAGCAGCAGCCCCTTGGTGGCCTCCCAGGGGCCCTGTGGATCTGAGCTGTTTGTCCTTTATACTTAAGTCAGATAACCCAGGGACACCTGGGTGCAAGTCAGATAACCAAGGAACACCCGGGGACACATGCACAATTACATCAGACAATAGCCAAGGAACACTTGGGCACACGTGTACAGTTAACATATTTACATCAAACAGGCTAGGTCCATGCTCGGCAAAATTCCAAACAGCTGAGGGAACCTGACCGTTTTTCATTTTCCTTACAACTGGTCAGGAATACAGAACTGCAAGGGGTGCAGTTTGCTGAAAAGACGCAGGCACAGACCAGAGTTTCCACACAACCCAGGTGCACCAGACCTCATGAGACCCAGAAGTGCTTACAGGGTCAACAGCTGAAACCCAAGCTGCACAAAAAAGCCTTCCCCAGAGAATCAGCAGCAAAGCAGCAATTTAACTCAACCACCAGGCCCGTGTGCTGGTTCCCACAAGAAGTTCTCCCACTTTAGAAGTAAGCAAAGGACAACAAATTAGTTCCAGTGCAGAGTTTAAGTGGTGGGAACAGCAAATAATCCAACAAGGAACTGAAAGAAAAAACAAAAACCCCACAGATCAGAGACAAAGTTTGATACTAACCAGTAAAGGTCTAACACCACCAAAGAACACCTATAAAACCTAGAAGGACTGGAAGCCCCCCAGGCTCGCAAGTTGGGGAGTGGGGAGGGCTGGGGGCCTCAGCCACGCCCCCCTGATGACTGCAACCAGCCCAGTGACAACTACTGAGCCACCGCTGAAAGTGCTCTGGGCTCCTCTGTTGGAATGAGGGGGGTGCCACAGATCTTGACCATGCCCTCCCTCCTTCCTCTTCCCACCCTATACCCCCACCCCTTTCCCTCTCCCTCTCTCCACCAGCTGCTCTGCAACAACATCTTAGAATGTAAAAATAATAATAATAATAAA